GGGGGGGGTGGTTTGCAGAGAGTGAGGTAGAGAGAATGAACCCCAAGCAGGCTCCACACTTTCAGCGCAGAGCCCAATGCAGGGCTTGAATTCATGAACCATGAGATCATTACCTGAACTGAAGTCAGAAGCTTAACCAGCTGAGCCACCCAGGTGCCCCTATTGTATTTTTAAATAACTCTTTGCCCCTTCCCTTTCTCTTTTTCTGGTAAATTAAATATTCTATTTGCTTTTCTGATAGAATCTTATAGTACTCATAGGGTTTTTTCACTGTTTAAATGTTCATTTATTTTGAGAGAGCAAGAGACACAGTGCAAGGAGGGGATGGCAGAGAGAGAGGGAGACACAGAATCCAAAGCAGGCTCCAGGCTCTTATCTGTCAGCACAGAGTCTGACATGGGGCTCCAGCTTGTAAACCATGAGATCATGATCTGAGCTGAAGTTGGATGCTTAACCAACCGAGCCACCCAGGCACCCCTCTTTGCTTTTAATATAAAATCTTAATTTTCTCTCCCTTCTCACTGATTCATTTCTAAATTCCTGTCCTTCAAGTCACTACTCCTTTCTTCCATTCTATCTGCCCTGTTATCTGTGCTTTTTTTTAAGTATGAAATTTATTGTCAAATTAGTTTCCATACAACACCCAATGCTTATCCCAACAGGTGCCCTCCTCAATGCCCATCACCCACCTCCCCTCCCTCCCACCCCTCATCAACCCTCAGTTTATTCTCAGTTTTCAAGACTCTCTTATGGTTTGGCTCCCTCCCTCTCTGTTTTTTTCCTTCCCCTCCCCCATGGTCTTCTGTTAAGTTTTTTAATGCATTCTTCATTTCATTGTTTTACGTCTTCAGCTCTAGAATTTGTTTATTTTTACTTTTTTCACTTTATTTATTTTAGAGAGAGAGAGAGCACAAGCTAGAGAGAGGGGCAGAGGGAGAGAGAAAGAGAATCTTAAGCAGGCTGTGTGTTCTGCATGGAGCCTGATGCAGGGCTCGATTCTGTGACCCTGGGATAATGACCTGAGCAGAAAGCAAGAGTCTACTGACTGAGCCACCCAGGTGCTTGTTTGGTTCTTTTTTAAAAATTTCAGTCTCTTTGGTAGGGAACTCCTTCTGTTCATTAATTTTTTTCCCAGGTTCATTGAATTGCCTTTCTCAGTTTTCTTGTAGCTCACTGAATTTCTTCATAAAAATTATTTTGAATTCTTTAACAGTTGTGTCTCAATATTTTGTGCCTTTGAGTTCAGTATATGGAGAATTATCTTATTTCCATTATATAATATTATCTTGATTTTCATTGTGTTTAACAATATATGCCTCTGATTTTACATTTGAAGCAGCAAACACTTTTCCTACTTAAGGATTTGTGTAATTTGGCTTGTTACAGTTCAACAGGTTAGCAGTTAGAAAATTTTCTTTTGTAGTCCAGAAGATGGCACTATACCTCAAGTTTTTGGTTTTTCCTGTGGGAGATGGCTGTTAGGATGAAGTGTGCAAAAAGAGCTGGCAGCAGATTTGGGAGAGATGTGGGTTTAGCACCTGGGACTTTGGGCGTGCCTACAGCCCATTAGGTGAATCTTAGTGTAGGGAACTTCAAAAGGTCCATGAGTGGATCTACAGCTGAAACCCTGAAGCATACAGAAGGAAATGAGTTCCTTAAACGCCATTTGATATTCCTTGTCTGCCTCCTTCCATTTCCCTTCCCTCCTCCAAGTCAGGGAGGTCATTCCTTAGAACTCTGGTGCTGCAGGAGAGAAACAAGCTCTCCAGCTGCAGCCCACGTGCAGCTGGGCAATCTGTCACTTCTTGTGCTTTTCACATCCTCTGCCAGAGAGGTAACTCCTTCTGTTGCCAAAAGCCCAGAGTGTTGCACTGATGTCCTGGAGAGGGAGCCTGCCTCAGTGGGTTCCTCTCTTACCTCTGCCTCCAAACTCACCTCTGTACCAGTCTGATGGTGTGCCAGGCTCTCCTATCAGGCTGATGCTTCCATGTGTATCTGTCCAGTGGTATACCCTCCAGCTTCCCCTTATCTAATCATGGCAATGTGGGTGGAGCAGGTTCACCAATTCCGCTGAATCCACAGTTCACTCTGAGATCTATCCACTTTCTCTTGGGTGCACAAGTAGATAGAAATTTCACAGGTGTCCTCTTGTAATGTACAGAGGCACTTTTATTCATGTATAGGTGACTAATTAATTGTAATCAAAGAGGAGATGAAAGAGGAATGACTCATACCACCATGATGCTGACATCACATGTCAATTTTTTAAAATTGTTATTGGTTTAATATAAATGCTACTTGTCTTAATCCTAGGTCTTGTTTTTTATATCAATAAAATAATATTAGATTTATATAAGTGGTTTCAAATTTAAGAAGAGAAAGATAAGAACAATATATTAATGGTAGATATTTTTGTAAAACTGAATTTCATGACTTTTGTCTGAAAATATATTTTTTATACAATTTCTTTTAAAATTCTATTATTTAGAGCTCAAAATCTGGAAACCATTGAACTATTCCAGTAGTCTCTTTCAATATAAATATTCTCTGATCTTATTTATTTTTTCTTCCTACATCCCAAGAAAACTGAAATGGCATATAGAATGTCTTAGGAATCAAAGAGCTTACAGGAACTTAATGGTTGTGTCAATCAGGATAGACTAGGTTATGCTGCAGTAACAAAAAGCTGAATACTCAGTAGCTTATGTAGCCAAATTTATTTCTTGTGTTTATCTTAGATCAACAAGGGGACTCTTCATATTAGTCACTTTACAATCTGCCACTGAAACTTTATTTTAATACAGAGGCCCCAGAACAAAACATATTACTTCTGCTTGTATTTTATTGCCAAAGCAAATGACATGAAAATTCCCAAATTCAACAGGACAAGGTATATGTAACCTGCAGGGAGGAGCACTGAATATTTATGAATAGTAATACCTTCTGTGGGTATGAAATCAGGTATAAAAACTGTAACAGAGAAAGATTAATTTTGTTCAGTGTGAAAATTTGAAAAACAAGAAATATGAGACTAATAACCCTTACTACTTTTGCAATTTTATAAACTTATTAATGTTAGCTAAACAGAAATTTCCAGATTCTAAAATATCTTCACATAAAGTATTTTACTTGACTTTTATCACTTGACTCAGTGATGGGGACTGATAAGACTGAGTAATGGCTAAGAGCTCACTATGGAGTTAAACTGCTTGGTTTGAATTTCAGTTGCAGTGTTTACGGAAATTTGACCATGGAATAGTTGTCTTACTTAATATTAGTGCTTCAGTTTCCTTTTTTAAAACTGGGTATAATCATAGTTCTAGCTTGCATTTATGTTTGTGTAAGGAATCAAAGTGGTAATAGTAACATTCAATGCATATTGTTAGTTGGTTTTACTTATTTTTGTATTTTTATCATATTTATCAACAATACTATTATCCCCATTTTCCAACTAAGAGCTAAATGCAATCTATAGGCTTCTCTTTTCCCTAAGGTTCACATACTAGGTCGCAAAGCTCAGATGCAAAATTAGATTTTGGTTTAGAGACTTTGTTTACATCCTACTCACACTTTTTTATATAATGTAACACAATCATTTTAATCTGTGTCTTTAAAGGTTATTTTATTAAAAAAAATTCATAGATTGATATAAATGATTTAGGAAATAAAAAGACTAATTGAGATTGGGAGATAATACTGAGAAAGAGAAAGGAAGACCAAAAGAGAAAGCAAACAACTGAAAAGGTACAGTGTAATTAGAAGTGTCAGGGAGGCAAATTGAGCCGAGGGAAGACAGTTGGTTTTCCTGGGAATTGGGAGTGATAGTAGCTAATCAAGTATCACTGTGGAGCTCACATTAGACTTTTTTTCACAGATTTGGTTTGGAGAGTTGGAACAGCATTGTAAGAGCACCTATGGAGAAGAAGAGGATTATAGAAAATCTATAAAGCTTTAAATTCAGCATTTTTTTCCTCATTGAAGAAAAAGCAAAACAAGAACTATATGATTTTTGTTATTGTATAATTGAAAAGACTGACCTGTCAATTTGAGAGTTTGCTGATGTAAAGAAGTTGATGTGGTCAAAGTTATCTTAATGTTTTGTGAGTATTGTAGTCCCTACCCCCCATTTTTTGTCTTGAAATAAGTGGTTTCTGTCATATGATTTGATATGGGTCAAAGTTTTACAAGCTATTTTAGGTTTGTTGACAACTCAAGTTTCAGTTTCGAGCAGCACAAAATGTACTGTTTCTGTTTGAAGTGTGTCTGAGTCTTGGCTCAAAACGTTTCTCTCATTTAAAGAATCTGGTAGGTAAACTTGATTATATTTGCCTTCTTTTCTCTAACTTCACAGGTGATTTATTATCCTGAGCTCAAGGTTCATTTTCCTGTTTTTCCTTTAAGTTTTTTGTTTTTGTTTTTCTTTTTGTTTTATGGAGGTAGGTAGCTCATAGGAGACAGGATACTGTTTTGAGAAAATTGTACATGATTCAGTGTAAAATTTAGAGGAATTAAGACTTTTTTTCAGTAAGAGAAACCACTAACTTGAACAACTACTGTATTGATAATACTAATTAAAGTTCTAGAATATTGAAAACTAGAAAAATAGAAAAAGAAACATTTGGAGATAAATAAAAGTGACAAAATAACAAGCATAGATGTGACATTTAAGGTATTTCTGTTAAAATTTTTAATAATACTTTAAACAACTTACTCTAAAGATATTTATATAGATATGAAGTATCTAGGCTAATAACTACAAATGACAAGAGTAGATAACTTGTTTATTTTAGGTTAATGTTAATTTATCTACATGTTAAAAAATATATTAGTATATGCCTGAGATGAGAGGTTGTTTTGGAAATGGGAAAAGAACTTTATAAATAACTAATACTTATATAGGTAACTGACATTTATATAGGTAGAAAGGAAGCTATAGAAATAGATACTGGTTTTTTGACTATTACTTTTTGCTTAACATTTTAATAGAGCTCCTTTATGCTATTTAAGCCATGGTATGATTTAGGTAGACTTAAGCTAAATGACCAAATTTATGGTATTTCATGTGTTAAGAGAAGTCCTGAATTTTTTCTAGAGCCTTTCCCTTATGATGTCATTTATACTGTAGACATTAAATAAAATAACAAGTATCTTTTATATAATACTGATTGAGAAAAAAAATACTTGAGAACATCAGAAACTAGAAAACTTATGGGGGAGTCTGAGTTAATAGAATTTTTTTTTCTTTTTAACATCGGATATGTTTTATTGGCACTTCAAATATAAATACTTCTTAAGGAGTATTGCTTTATCGGTAATCGGTAGGATATTATCAAATGTTCTAGTTCATATTTTTAAGGAACTCCCAAGACATCTCATATGACTTATTATAGTAACCCTTAAAACTTGAAAAGGAAATTTCTTCTTTTAAAGAAGAAATATGAGATGTGGGCAGCAGAGCATTGATATTAGTATTAATAACTGTGAATAGCTTCTCTGAGGGGAACAATTTTAGGAAATCTATAATGAGAAGTAGCCATAATAACTATCTCAAGTTCTTATTTTTTTAATTTGTTATTGATGTCAAAGATGTCAAGGATTTGTTTGCAGATTTTACTTCACAAGATACAAAAATATGCTTTAGTTGTTTTAGTGCTTATGGAGTTTATAGCTCTTTAGATTGAGAGGAAAATTAAGATTAAATGAGAAAATATAGGACAGTGACTGACCCTTGATAAAGATTATTGTATGATTGTGTATATCCACCTATGCTGGGGTGCTGGTAAAATTTTCCGAATTATGTCTGCATAATTTTAATATGTTATCCCTTATTTTAATAACATCTTAACATACATGTGAAAAACACTTGTTATTAAAAGAACAGTTCAGAGTTAACTAATGAGGCAGTGATGAGAAGTTATCTCAAAATCAATGTGTGTCTGCTAGAAGTTCTAAAGCGGTTAAAACTAAAAGAGAGAAAAAGAAGAGTGGAAAAAATAGGTAGAAAACATTGCCAGTTCCTTCTTATCACTATCTATTCTTCCGTGTGTTTGTGTGTGTGGGGGGGGGGGGGGGGTGCAAATAGTTCTGAGAAATAGAAAGTATTATTAGAATTTGGCAAGAGTGGAATGGAAAGAGAGAATGTCCAAGTGATAATAAGTAGAAGTAGAAAGAGAGCATGAGTTTAGAGCAATTTGAACAGTACCAGCAGTAAAAATAACAAAACAATAATAACATTACAGCAGCCAAATATATTGAGTTTTTATTGTATTCATACACCAGGATAAAAGCTTTATTGGTGTTAATTCACTTAATCATCATGACAGCTTTATGAGGTACATACTGCTTTTTCTAGTTCATAGATAAACTTAAAGAGATTATTTTCCACGGTCACACAGATGATAAATGACAGGGTCAGAATTTAAACTGTAGTTTGTCTAACTCCTAAGGTCATGTTCTTAACCATTACATTTTAACATTTGGAACCTTAAGTCATGTATAAAGTTCAAACCATGCTGCTCTTATCTAATTCCCACCTCTTTAGCACCATTAGCCCTATATCATCCACAGTCTCATCAGTCTTCTCTCCTATTCTTATTCTAATACTCATCTACATCCAGTTGGTCTCTTGTCCTCCTTGCAAATTTTCCTTCCTATTTGTTTTTGAAAGCCTTTCTCTGGTAATAAAAGTCCTTTCCCTATTATGAAGGCACCTCTTTATATGCTCCCTCCAATCTCCCTTATCATATACACTGCTGGGCTTTACCCAAACAAAGTTGTAAATTTGGACTCAACAGCTGTCTTGTCAACTCTGTCTACTCTCAAGGGTCCAGCTCTCCAGGCCTGATAATTCATCCATGTTCATTGACTTATATATACTAGTTGTTTATAGATGGTATCTATTCTGATTGGTCAGTGTCTGTGACCAAATCCAGTTGTTAAATATTTTGTATGCTATTTCTGAAACTATCATTGCTTTGTTGAAAGTTCCCAAATCTATCTGCTTCTTTCTTCATATCTAATACTTTTTCATACTTCAATCTCAGTATATCCCAGTATTAGTTCTTCAGTTTCCCTAACCAAGTCTGCTTCTAGATTGCTCAAGAATGGTAATTGCATTGTCATTCTTTGATTCATTAACCTTTAAATCAGAGTCCCCTTTGACTCTTCCTTTTCTTTATTTTCCTACATCCAGTTACTTACCATTTCATGTAGACTTGGTCTCCACCAAATCTATTTTATCTTTCCTTTCTGTATTCGTGAATTATTGCCGAATAACAATAATAATGTATTATGCCTCACAATTTTATGGGTGGCTAGGTGGTTCTTCTGCTGCTTTTGCCCTGGAATAACCATTCGACTACAGTTAGTTGGTAGATCAACTCAGATGGTTGGAATGGGTAGAAACAATTAGATCTCTTCATGTGGTAATTTATCCTAGTTATCCAAACAACACAATGGTCTTAGATTTTTCAAGAGATCAAGATCCATTGGGTAAATGCTAGTCAAACTTTTGTTTGTGTCTTATTTGCTGACATCCCACTGGGCAAAACGACTTATAAGCCAATTCCATAGCCTATGAAGGAAGAGATCCCAAATTGGATACAAGCAAGTGTCACTCACTGGGTGACACTGATTGTAACAATTTATTATACACTCAATTTCACTCCTACTGCTATTTTCATTTGTTTCTATCTCAGTTCTCTTTGCTTCCCAATCCATCTGATATACTTTAATAGCTCTAATCATGTTACTGTTCTTTTTCAAAACAAACAAACAAACAAATGAACAATACCCTTCTATATAGCTTCTTATAGCTTTAGGAAGAAATTCTACTTTCTCCTCCTTGACTTTAAGAGATCTCAATATGACTCTCCTACCTTAATTCCTATGGCTCCCCTGTACCTTCCTTAGTGTTCTACAAAACTATATTGGTTTCTTGATATTCTTCTTTCTCATTTCCTAAATTTGTTTTCATTTTTGTTTTTGTTTTTATTTATTTTTTTTTTAGTCAGAGGTATTTCACCTTCTCTGTTTTATTTAAAGGTTGAAGTCAAACCTGTTCTTTGAATTGACTGTATCTTCCTCTGTTCTCATCCAGCACAAATTATTTTTTCTATCAATGAAATCATGAAACACTTTACTTGTATCTTTCTTAAAGTAGTAATCATATTCTTTATTTTATTATTGTTACTTATGTTTGTGTACAGTTGTGTCCTTTCCCTGATTTAACATTATCTCTAGAATGGTACTGCCCATTTGAAATTTAATGAAAACTACATATATAATTTAAAAATTTTTGATAGCCAAATATTAAAAGATGCCAAAAGAAACTGGGGAAATTAAGGTTAATAATAAATTTTATTTAACCTAATGCATCACAAAATATCATTTCAACATATAAGTGACGTAAAATTATTAATTTTTTACATTAATTTTTCACACTATTTTTTCAAAATGTGGAGTATATTTTACACTTATAGCACATTTCTGTACAGACTAATATTTTAAGTTATCAGTAGCCAAATGTTGTAGCCACCATGTTGGATATCACACCTCTAGAATACTATGAGGAATATTGGTATAATACAGAGAATGTTGATTTGTGGTAGGACCTATTATCAAATTCTGGCTTGTTATATACTGTCTGAGCCTGGACAATTTACTGTTTATCTGGGCTATAGTTCCTTTATGTGTAAAAAGTTTTTGCAAAGATTAAATTGTATCACATAATTTCTGACAGTGTTTGTTTATTTTTAAAAATCATTGAAGACATAACCCAAGTTATGCCAATGCCTTGCACAGTGCCTAGAATTTAGAATCTTATGTTACAATTTGTTGATTACATAAGCCATTACTAGCTATTTGTTTTGCTAGTTTCTAGGAATATTAGATAGGAAGTCTACCTTTAAGAAGTTTTGTCCAGAATGATGGACACATAAGTACTTAATTATTTATAATATATTTACAATATAAATCAAATACAGCTTAATATTGTGATATATGTTAAAAAGCTATCATATAGATCAGTTATTAACTATGCCTGGGAATAACAGGAAAGGCTTTAAAAGATGTTGCTTATGAAGTATACAAGGATGATGGAAGGTGATTATAGAAAGGAAAACACTTCAAAAATTACGGAGCAATGAAATTACTTGTGAAATATGAGGAAATTTTAGTTTTGCAATGGGTAAGCATTAGGGACTAAACGTTTGTGTCTCCCCCCACCAACTTTACATATTGAAACCCTAGCTCCCCATGGGTGGTATAAGGTTGTGGGGTCTTTGGGAAGTAATTAGGTTTAGATGAAGTCATAAGAGTGAGCCCCATGATGGCATTAGTGTCCTTGTAAGAAAAGAGACTAGAGCTCTACTCTGTTCTCCATCATGTAAAGATACAGGGAGAAGAAGGCCATCTATGAACCTGGAAGGGGGCTCTCACCAGACACTGAACCTACTGACATTTTGATTTCAGGCTTCCTAGCCTCCAGAACTATGAGAAATAAATATTTGTTGATTATCACCCAGTCTGTGATAATCTTGTTATAGTGACTTGAACTGACTAAGAAAGTAGGACACATAGTGTTTACATGGTGAGTTGGAAGAAGGACCAAAGGAGAGCATTAGGGTTGCTAGAAAAATAATTATGGACCATAGTGCTCTATGTAACCCTTCCCCAAAGCTGGTACTTCCTTATTTTTCCTTATCTTAATGAATGGTATCATTACCAGATACCTAGTTCTTTAGTTTTTCTCTTTCCCTCATTCTTTAAAAAAAAAAAAAAAAAAAATTTTAATGCTTATTTATTTTTGAGAGACAGAGACAGAGTGCAAGCAGGGGAGGGGCAGAGACAGAGAGAGACACAGAATCCTAAGCAGGCTCCAGGCTCTGAGCTGTTGGCACAGAGCCCAACGTGGGGCTCAAACTCATGAACTGAGAGACCATGACCTGAGCCAAACTCATGAACTGAGAGATCATGACCTGAGCCAAAGTCGGCCGTTTAACCTACAGAGCCACTCAGGCGCCCCTCTCTTTCCCTCATTCTTCAGCTCTAATCTATCCATAAACCTATTACCTCTCTGCCTATGAAATATATCCTGTCAATGCCCTTAGTCTAAGCCACTCACCTCTTTCTTAAACCACTAAAAGAGTCTAACAGATCTCCTTACCCCTACTCTTGTTTTCCTATAATCCAATTTCTTCAGAGTAACAAGAGTGATTTTCTTTTAAAGTACACCAGAGTTTCTTAGCTCCCTTTCTTACAGACACAATGCCTCTCTCTTTCATTATATTCTACAAGATCCTACATGATCTGGCCTAATTCTCAGACCTCATATCATTTTTCCCTTCCCTTTATTACATATTGTTTAGCTACACTGACTTTTATTTATTTATTTATTTATTTATTTATTTATTTATTTATTTATTTAATATTGCTTGAAGTTTTTCTTTCCTTGGGTTTTTTCTGTTGTACTTTCCTCTAGATTGCTCTTTCTCTGATCTTTAAATCACTGGGTGCTTCTAATCCTTCAAATACTAGCTGAAAATCATTTCCACAAAGAAATCTTTCCTGAATATTTAGTTTAAAATACCTTAATGGCAAAGTCACTTTCTATTTTATTACTATTAATTCATACTAGTTCTTATTGATATCTTCAATGTATCATCATCATCATTTACTCATATATTTTCTTTCCACACTAGAATGTAACAAGAACAAGAATCCTATCTATCTTATTTATTACTGTATCCCAAATATCATCCACATGCTTAAACAAAAAACAATATTCAGTTAATGCTTGTTGGATTAAAGGATTAAGTGTTTTCCACCTGTACTGTTATTCTCTTTCATAGGTTTTTACTTACGTTAAGAAGAAAATGAGGTGTGAATTTATTAATTTAGTGTCCTATCAGGTATGAAATATTTGGCTATAAGGGGAAAAAAACAAAACGCTCTGCTGCTACAGCCACTGCATTAAGCATATGATTTGATGGAGTGGGAAAAAGTGTCTCTATCTTTATTTCAACTTCTAAATAGTTTCTTAAATCTTAATGTAGAAAGTTAAATAACTAAAAATTAGGGTTGGTGGTATAAGAAAAGAACTGAATTAAATATCCTGTTTCTTTTTGAAATTGAAACATTATAATGTTTGCAAATAGATAGTTAAGGCAATGTTTTGATTATAAATTCAACTGGCTTTGATTGTGATTTTCCTTCTATTTGTGAAGGACTTCAGAAAGAAAATCTAATTCTGATTAAGTAATCCATGATTGAGGATTCTCTCTATATAAAATTCCAGATGTTGAAAAAGGTTAATATTCCCTCAGTAAACAAAGCATTAAGTTCTAAAAGGTCATTTAGATTGTTTGCCTGGTATATTGTTTACAGATATTCTTCACCTGTTAATATTATCATTGTTGATAATTCTTTTCAGATCATGATTAAACACTTTATGCTCTATGTATTTATTCATGTTAATATTTACCTAGTAAAATATTTTTCTTACAGGAAGATAAATAGTTGCTGCAAAGAACACTGACAACTTCAAAGCGAAATGAAGTTCTTTCTGTTGCTTTCAGTCATTGGGTTCTGCTGGGCTCAGTATAACCCAAATACCAAGCCTGGACGGACATCTATTGTCCATCTGTTTGAGTGGCGCTGGGCTGACATTGCTCTTGAATGTGAGCGATACTTAGCTCCCAAAGGATTTGGAGGGGTTCAGGTGGGTATTATTCTTAGTATAAACTGCAAAGTTTGCTGTGCTTATAGTACATGGTATTATGATCTGTATCTGTGAAGCTGGAAGATTTTACTGCACAAATAGGTACTCTAAAACGGTTTACTGAGGAATAAAAAAATTTAGTATTATTGACAACTTTATGTTTTGTTTCTGATATAAACCTTCTTCAGGAGGACATTTCCAATGTGGTAGTTAAAAATGTAGCTGTATATGCAAAGATTCAGAAATAAGTTTAGATCATTGATTATGTTATAGAGTATCTGATGATATAAAGTAACCCATAATATGATACTTATTGTTTATTTGTAGATCTCTCCACCCAATGAAAATGTTGTGATTAATAGCCCTTTAAGACCTTGGTGGGAAAGATACCAACCAGTTAGCTACAAGTTATGCACAAGATCAGGAAATGAAAATGAATTCAAAGACATGGTGACTAGATGTAACAACGTTGGTGTAAGTGAATTAAAATTTCCTTTAAAAACATTATTTAGGAAAATTCTCTCTCTTGTCTCCTGTTCCTTATGAGCAGAATATTTTCCATAGTTTTTTATTTTATTTTATTTTACTTTACACTTAAGCTATAACTAGAACTTAATTGTTACCTATGTTTAGCTTTTGTAAATCTTTGTATATGTACCATTTGTCTACTAAAGAAAATTTCAATCAAAGTTTAAAGCCAAAATTATTTATAAAGCAAATATAACTGTACACATTTCTGGGGAATACTTTCTAGTTAGGAATTGGAGATTCCAGTTGCAATATTTGTTATAATTTTTATGTGGCTTGTGTATGCACCTATAATTTCTGGGTCTTCTTCCCCATAGGTTTTTTGATGGTAAATAGTTATATTATGAGATATTTACCTTCCTCTCTTTAGATGCTAAGTAGATAATAGAGGCTAGCTGCTTCTTTCTTAGGATGATGCATGGAAATTTCAAAAACCAATGTTCTCTCCTGTCTTCTATGATTCTGATCTGTCCCCCCCCCCAAAAGGCTATTTGCATTTTTTCATAGTTATGGTAGTTTTAGTTACCAGTTTGTCGTTTATGTAAATATTTTACCAAGAGGGTAAAATGCAGATAGGTATTCAGTTCACATGGATTTCCCTTCACACTTAACTTTTGGTTTACTAGGAAGGTAAGTTAAAAAATAACAAATACCAGTTTTGGAGTGTGATTAACATGCTGTAAACTTTAGTCGATAATACTATAGATTTCTACTTCTCTAAAGACAAACTGAAATAGAAACTTTGTTTTTCAGGTCCATATTTATGTGGATGCTGTAATTAATCATATGACTGGGAATGGTGTGGGTGCAGGAACAAGCAGTACTTGTGGAAGTTACTTCAACCCTGGAAATAGAGATTTTCCAGCAGTCCCATTCTCTCATTGGGATTTTAATGATGGTAAATGTAGAACTGGAAGTGGAGACATTGAGAACTATAATGATCCTTATCAGGTAATTAAAGAAAAAAAACACAGTGATTGGAATAAAGAGCTATCCGTGCCTTTAATTATCCACATGGAGCTTATTGATCTTCATTTTAAATACTGGTTTAGATTCCTTATGAAAATAAGGATTCCAAGTCTGACTCTTTAAAAATTAGAAACTCAAATCAGTATTTAAAATATTTTTCCCAATTAAATTTGTCCCAATAAAAAAAAAAAAAAAACTCATCTACTTTATTTCCTACATACTCCATTTTTTCTAATACATCAAAGGTATGTCCATACTAGAATGTCAGTATGTTCAGTTCCCAATGCAAAAAAGACACTATAGAAACACCTGTTAAGGAATAAATGAATGAATAATCAAATGGATTGTCAGGTTAAGGTGGTGTTTTGTGTATCAATCACAAAATTTTTACCTCAATAGGTCAGAGATTGTCGTCTGGTCGGTCTTCTTGATCTTGCACTGGAGAAAGATTATGTGCGTTCTAAGATTGCTGAATATCTGAACCGCCTCATTGACATTGGTGTAGCAGGGTTCAGAATTGATGCTTCTAAGCACATGTGGCCTGGAGACATGAAGGCAATTTTGGATAAACTGCATAATCTGAATACAAACTGGTTCCCCGAAGGAAGTAAACCCTTCATTTACCAGGAGGTACATCAGTACATATATGTATATGTATTTCATAGGTATATGAAAAAATATAATTTAATTAATTAGAAAATAAATGGTAGATTTAATTAAAGATACAATTTCTGTAGTTTAATGGCTGTATCATTTGTATAGAAGAGTGTTCTTTAACCTTCTTTCATTGGAACAGCATCTAACATCTAACTCTTTATCACAAGAGGTTTTATGGAAGTGCCGAGAATTCATTTAGGCTGCAAACATCTGTGTCATTTACCGTCTCCCCAGAGACCATTAGAAAAGACAGATAATAACATAGTTGCTATCTTGAGCCAGTCTGAGTTTAAATCTTGGCTATAGCACTAGTAGCTGTGTTCATTTAGGCAAGTTGATTAACCTCTGTATGCAACATTTTATTTTCAAGTGAAGAAAAGGGATGGTGATAATAGTTATGTCTTTGTCTTTGTCTAAAAGTTAAATGAGTTAATATTTATCAACCACTTAGAAATGTTTTCATCCAGATATCAAGTGCTATATAAGTATGACCTATTGTTATCATTTATGTACAATACTAAATTAGGTCAACATTCTCACAGGACAACAGATCACCTTGTATCATGTTATTTTTAATATTGTAGCATATAATTTAGCAAAAAAGGAAGAATCTTGATATAAAGAAAACCATTTTGGGTATTTCAAATAACATAAATAGTTTCAAGTCATTTTCTACATAATGTTAACCTTTTGGTTAAAATTCTTTAAAGTTCTTATTAAAGTAATATTTTTCTTGTATTTCTACTAGGTAATTGATCTGGGTGGTGAGCCAATTAAAAGCAATGAGTACTTTGGGAATGGCTGTGTGACAGAATTCAAGTATGGTGCAAAATTAGGCACAGTTCTGCGCAAGTGGGATGGAGAGAAGATGGCTTACTTAAAGTAAATGAAATACGATTTGTCTTTTAAATTATTTCACAGATGTATTAGTCTTATTATTCCAATCTGAGTTATCTTCTTTGGAACTTATTCAGAATTTTTAAAGATTCAATTACTAATAATAAGGGTTATAGTTTCCCAAATTCCAGTGTATCATCTTTATTATTTAGAATGTCAATCATGAGGATATCTCAAAACCTCAAACATAACCTAGAGACTTTAATCTATGTCTTATATAACTCTACTATATTTGACTAGTGTTTGTATACAATATGTGAAGGCCATGCTATTATTAAAATGATTGTATCATTTATAAAGTACCTAAAATGTGGCTACATTATGGAGTTTACATATATTATATCAATTAATTTATTTCAAATATTAGAATGTTTATATTATAACAATATAATATTGAAACCTGATTTTAACCCAGTTTTCCATTCTGTATGATGTGATATGGATGTTGATCCTTCTGAAGTCTCATCTAAATTATACTGAAATCTCTAAAAGGACTTTTTATAACAAAAATCTTATACCTATAACATGAATATAATACAAGTAATCCATACATATATACATACATTGAATGTATAGTATATCTATACATATAGTATATCTATTTATCTATCTCTATGTATATTTATTTTTTTATTTTAAAAACACTCCTATATAATAATCATTTAATTAGAGACAGAATTTCATTTGGAGATGCTATACCAAAAGAAATACACATTTAGGTTACCCTAAAACTATTGGAAAAGAATACATGTATTTTTGTGTATATGTGTTTTAATAGGAACTGGGGAGAAGGATGGGGTTTCATGCGTTCTGACAGAGCACTTGTCTTTGTGGACAATCATGACAATCAGCGAGGACATGGAGCTGGAGGAGCATCTATTCTAACATTCTGGGACTCCAGGTAGGAAATAAAATCCACCACCCCCCCTATTTTTTTACACTTGTTTTAATGACATTAAAAGTATTGTTTTCTTCTATGATGATATCATTTTATAACCTTCAGACTGTACAAAATGGCAGTTGGATTTATGCTTGCTCATCCGTATGGATTTACACGATTAATGTCAAGCTTCCGTTGGCCAAGACATTTTGAAAATGGAAAAGTAAGTTTTTGTGCTGTCCAATATATATTTTTCTCAAGAAAGGAAAGGCAGTTTTGTTGTAATTGTACATGACACTATTATTTTTACTATTTATCAAGTATTTAAGTATAAACCTGATGCAGGATGCTTTTAGCAATTCAATTAATATTATGGTCTCTGTTGTCAAAGAGTATTGTAGGCTATATCAGAAGTATGACAAACATCCCCTCCCCAAAGAAACACTTTAAAATAAGGATATAGTAAGTAAAATATGTACTTCTCATACGTACCTACTTCATAGAGTTGATATGAGGATTACAAGTTAATACTTGTAAAGAACTGAAAACAGTACCGGCCCATAGTATGATCAATATAAATATTTGTTAAATACTTTTTTTTTTTAAAGTTGTATGGAATGCAAAGAAGTTGTTCAGTTGAACTTTTGTTAAATAGGGAAAATATCTTATAAGTGGAAGGAAAATATATGTATTAAAGAAGGGAAATTTACAGACTATTTTGGAAAAGGTAAAGATGAGAAAAATATTTGGGGTAATATATGGGGTATTGAGTAGTAATTTGAAAAACGAACTGAGAAATAAAATTATGAATGTATTGGGAAAGTTACTGGAATTTTTTTTTAAACTGAAGATTTCAGATGCAGCATTGTACAGCAACTTCATACCTAAACTAAAAATCTTTTTCACTTCAAACCAGACTGATTTCTTCCATTTTTTTCTCTATCTTTAAAATTACCAATCTGAAAATCACAAGATTAAAAATTTGATCAATTTAGTAAAGAATATTGTGATGTATTGACTAGCACATTTATCCAAAAGGAAGAATGAAAGAAATGAATATTTATTCACCAATTATCATATTCAAGGCATTTTTCACATAATTATTTAATTAGGCACAGAGAAGTTATGTATGTTAACTAAGTTTTCTTTTTTTTTTTAATGTTTATTTCCTTATTTTGAGAGAAAGAGAGTATGAGCAGGGGCGGGGCAGAGAAAGAGGGAGACAGAATCCCAAGCTGGCTCTGCACTGTCCAGCACAGAGCCAGATGGGCTTGAACTCACAAACCATGAGATAATGACTTGAGCCAAAATCAAGAGTATAGTGCTCAACTGACTGAGACACCCAGTCACCCCAATGTTATCTAAGATTTTTTATCTAATAGTAATAGAATCTATGTTTTCAATCTGCTGTCTCTGACACTACAGTTCTTGTCATTTCAATGTCATTTACTTTTTTCCCAGAGCTTAGCCATAACAATTCCTTGGAAAGAAAGTGAAGAGGTAAAAAAAAAAAAAAAAAAAAAAAATATGACCTTTAATATATGGCACTAAGAGAATTAGCAATTGGGAAGAAAATGGTGAGGACCTGGTAAAGGGCTATAAAAATACTGAAGGAGTTAGTATTACTAAATGAAGATGCTGTAGACACAAGTAAGACAGATTGGGTTTTGTGTAATAAAGAAGAAAGAAACAAATACATGAAATGTTAAAAATCTAAGCTTTTTTTCCTTTAATTAAGGATGTTAATGATTGGATTGGGCCACCAAATAATAATGGAGTAATTAAAGAAGTTACTATTAATCCAGACACCACTTGTGGCAATGATTGGGTCTGTGAACATCGGTGGCGTCAAATAAGGTAGGAATTCTTATTTAGAGATGACCTCTAATATTAAACATTCTTAAAATTTTATTTTAAACTGTTAAATGTATTCATCAGCATTTTATGTGGTATTTTATCTTTAGGAACATGGTTATGTTCCGTAATGTAGTTGATGGCCAACCTTTTAGAAACTGGTGGGATAATGGTAGCAATCAAGTAGCTTTTGGAAGAGGAAACAGAGGATTTATTGTTTTTAACAATGATGACTGGTAAGTAGATATCAATTAGAAGTAACATTTTAAATAACATTTATACTAGTATGTTCTTGGCTTACTACTTTCTCTTATTACACATTAACTTTTTTTATATCTGAAAAAATTCTTTAGTCAGCAGATTAAGAAAACACAGGAATCTAAAAAGAACCAGAAGAAAAATGATGGCTCTTATTCTTCTGATCTCTTCCTTATTAGGACTTTCTGTTCTAAGTGGAGTTATTCTATGTGCACCCTTGCATATCATGTGCAGATATTCTGCACATGTATGTTTCCACACATATACCCCACACAAAATACACAGAGTAGTTGATATAAAGGTTGTGAAATCACTAGAAGAACATGTCGTAGCCCCTTTCCTCTTTCCTCCCCTTTTTTAAATAATGGAAAAATATTGCTTCAGTATCTTTTTTTAGCTCTTTTTTTCAAGTACTCTTTTATCTAATTTTTGGTCTTTTTTTTTCATTTCCTTGTCTCTCTCTGACAAATAATATGTTTTTTAAAGCATATGTATAAAGGGCATGTATCTTATGGTCCATCAGTGACCCACCTCAGGAGATTTTTGAGTTTTAACTCTGAGACTTCTTATTGGCTTTCATTGGTCATACTATATCCTCTGCCTCTAGTATATTGATTCCCTAATATATAGAACTATAGCTTAGAAGACGTCTTTTAAGCAATTGAAATGTCTCAGTCCAAGGCCAGCTTTCACTCATGCTTAGCTCATTCTAGCTTAAATTATATTTTGCTGACAAAAAAATAAATTGAATATATCTCTTTCTTACCAAAAGAAGCCATGGCTAGTCCTTTCATTTCTATCTTTTCTGGATGGGAGAAGCAAAATAAATTTATGAGACCTCTTTTTTTTAATGTTTGTCTATTTTTGAGAGAGAGAGAGAGAGAGAGAGCGATTGCACATGTGAATGGGATGAAGGACAAAGAGAGAGAAGACAGCCAAATAGACTCCACTCTGTCAGTGAGGAGCTGGACTTGTGGCTTAATCTTACAAACAGTGAGATCACAACCTGAGCTAAAGTCAAGAGTCTTTTATGACCTAAGCCAAAATCAAGATTCACTTAACTGGCTAAGCCACTCAGGTGCCCCATAAATTTATGAGACAGCGTTATATTTAAAACCATATACTTCACAAAATCCAAGATTATTTTTATCTCCAGCCCAAATTCATTTTAGCCTCTTGTGAAAAATATTTTTGAAGAAATAATCAAATTTAAATTTTTGAAAGTAATTATTATTTTCTTAAGTTTAGATGAGAACAAATTTAAAAGATTTGTGTTAACCACAAGAATTGCTTTTATTGAAGGGTGATAATTCACTCAAATCTTCACTGATATTCCTCAACTTTAATTTTGTGGTAATATTCACTATTGACTAGGGAATTAGTAAATCTTTTGTAAGATTACTTTTAGTCCTGGAAAACTGTTCACATCTACTGGAGAGGTTTTTGTATTTGGATTTTCTTCTCACTGAGACTTTGCTTAGAGTTCTACAGCACAAAGTTAACCTTTTAGAGATAGTCTGAATTCTTGCTTTTCATTCTGTTGAATTCAAGTTAAATCTTAAATTTTATTTTGCAGGCCATTGTCTTTAACTTTGCAAACTGGTCTTCCTGCTGGCACATATTGTGATGTTATTTCTGGAGATAAAATTGATGGCAATTGTACAGGAATTAAAATTTATGTTTCTGGGGATGGCAATGCTCATTTTTCTGTTAGTAACTCTGCTGAAGATCCATTTATTGCAATTCATGCTGAATCTAAATTATAAAATTTGAAGCAAATACACATAATCAGAGAAAAAACCAAGTGTATTTCTTTGTGTGTGTGTGTGTGTGTGTGTGTGTTTGTATTCTTATAATTCATTAACTTTTGGTAAAAGCTATAAGTAACCAACTTGAAAAACTCAGAAAAGCATACAAATCATATATAATTATAAGGTAGCCACAATCAACATCATGTTATATTTTAGAAGACTTATGATGACTTATTTGTCAAAAGAATTTCTAAGAATTCAGAGAGGCATCTTGATAAATATGTTTGTTGCCATTAACACCATTTGCCCAGTATGTATTTCTGTATTTCTTCCATCAAGTATTTCTAAGAATTAGTTAGGGATAGTTGATTTAATGATGATTCCCATACAGAGTTAGAACACTTGAGTGGTTTTAACAGTATGAAAGCCCTTTTACAGTTAATAAGTTAAAAACTTAAATTATGCAAGGTATCATTCTTAATTGTATGGAGCTCCCAGGAATATTCTTTCTGTATTTTTTTCTCTTTCTCTTTGTAATGTCTTTAACTTGATGTTTGTGTGTGTGTGTTTTCTTTCATCTCCTAACCCCCAGTATGAGTTTATTTATTTATTTAGGACTTTCATTACACCATATGCTCTGGATGTTTTTCCTGATCCTCTAGCTATTCATTTTCCTTCACCTTGACTTTAAATGTGTAATTTGGTAAGGATCTCATCTGGGTCTTATAATTCTCAGTTGTTTTCCTTATGCTTGAGTGATAAAATAAAACCATAATTGTGAATCTGTCTCTTCTTTTTACCTGTAAATTTATCTGTACTTGCCCCTGTTATTTTCTTCTTCCTGCCTGTCATAATGAAGAAAGTGTACTTCATTCTACCAAAGGCCATTCTTCTCACTTGTGTTAATAATACCATTTCCTTTTTTATCTTGTGGGGAAATTTCTTTCTTTCATTATTCTTTCTCTTCTGATTTAGTAATATTTCCCTTTCTGCTTAGATTACTCCCCTCAGATTACATGTCTTCCAACTAACAAATCAATGACTCCCTCCCCAGTTCTTCCCAAATTAAATTAATTCCTGGTTAACCCTGATTTGTTAGGTCATAAATGTCATTGAATTTCAATAGAAGCAAAAAAAAAGTATGTGACAAAATTCAACATCTTTTTATGATAAAATCTCTCAATAATTAGGTATAGAAGGAATGCACCACAGCATTATAAAAGCCATATATGACAAGCCTACAGCAAACATCATGCTCAATCATGAAAAGCTGAAAGCTTTTCCTCAAAATCTGGAACAAGAAAAGGATGTGTCATAGACTATGGGTCTAAAGTTCTTTCTTGTCTAGCAAGACAAGAGAATGAAAACCGAGAGATGGCTAATATCTGGGAAAAGACAACAGCCCCGAATAAGGGTCCTTGCCCTGTATTTACTAAGATCAGAAGGCTTACAAACATGATGGGCATGCACAAAAAGACAAAAAAACTGGGAACATTAACTTGGGGATGTGAGGGAAAAGGGGGGTTTTGAAGGTATACGGTGTTTAGGATTTGGGTCAATATAAAACAAAATCCTGGCACCAGGCAGATGGGCAGATGGGCAGTTGTTAACGGCAGGCAGGAGGCCCCATGTCTGTTTATTGTAGCTAGCCTAGGGGATAAGGAAGATAGGGGGAATAACCTCAGAGTTAACAAGGCACCTTTTCTTTTGTTAATCATTTCTGCTCTAGGCTGCTTCCCCTGCAGCACAGCAGTCTATAGGGCAACTTACCTGTTTACCTAACTTGGTCCTTTCCTCCTGTGAAAGCAGCTTTTTGCTATAGTACTAAATTGAGGGGCTCTTCTTCCCTGAACGTCTAATCTCGCTTACCTCATATACCTTTGTATTGGGTGTCTCTGCACCCTGTCTCTATTCTGGCATGCCTTTGCACCTCCCTATTTTTGGTGCCTTTAGCCTCCTTATTCCTGGGGTGCCAATCTTGTTTACCCAAACTCAGGTGTGAGCATCCTATGGCTTTTTATTTCTTTATGCCTTGTTAACCCATTGATGTAAGCCCAGGGAATTTCTAAGCTTATTCCCCACAAGGATGCCCATTCTTACCACTTCTATTCAACATACTACTAGCCAGAGAAATAAGGCAAGACAGAAAAATAAAAGGCTTCCAAATCAGAAAATAAGTAAATTGTCTCTGTTTGCAAATGACATAATCTTATATATGGAAACTCCTGAAGACTTCACCAAAAAAACTGTTAGAACTAATAAATTTAATAAGTTGCAAGATACAAATTAGGCATGCAAATATCAGTTGTATTTCAATACACTAACATGAACTTCCAAAAAGAAATATTAAGAAAGCAATCTTATTTGTAATAGCCTGGAAAACAATGACATCCTTAGGAATAAACTTAACCAAGTAGGTGGAAGAATTCTATATGCTGAAAACTATAAGACATTAAAGAAAGAAATTGAAGAAGACACAGATAAATGGAAAGATATCCTGTGTTCTTGGTTTGGAAAAATTAGTGTTAAATGTCCATACTACCCGGGCACCTGGATAGCTTAGTTGCTTAAGTGTCGTCTCTTGATTTTGGCTCTCACAGTTTGTGAGATTGAGCTCTGCATCAGGCTTTGTGCTGATAGTGTGGAGCCTGCTTGGTATTCTCTCTGTGTCTCTCTGCTTCTCCCTTGCTTGCACTCTTGTTCTCTCAACATAAATAAATGAACATCTAAAAAAATGTCCATATTACTCAAAGTGGTCAATTGATTCAATAAGATTCCCATCAAAATTCCAATGGCATTTTTTCAAGAAATAGAAAAAAAACCCTAAAATTCATATGTTTTCAAGATCTTTAAGTTATAAGAGCAGTCAGTTTTTTTGTTAGCTATGCCCCTGTTATATCAACCTAGTATTCCTTTTTAAAGTTTTATTTAAAATTTATTTATTTATTTTGAGAGAGAGAGAGCAAGTGAGAGCAGGGGAAGGGCAGAAAGAGAGGGTGAGAGAGAGAATCCCAAGCAGGCTCTGTACTGTTAGTGCAGAGCCTAATACAGGGCTTGAACTCAAAAGCTGTGAGATCATGACTTCAGCCAAAATCAAGACTCAGACGCTTAATCTACTGAGGCACCCAGAAGTCTCCAACCTAGTATTCTTGACACGGGGAAAATGATGCCACACTGATCAGGATATAATACATTTGAAATCCACTTATGTTATGTACTTAGTGATTTCTCATACCAAGAAACTTGTTAACAGTTTCTTCCTTTAGATGTTTCATTTTATGTATTGAGGCAATTCTTCATGTGAACATTGAGTTATTTCTCTTTTCATGGAAGGGAAAATAACTATGTTGAAAAATTATTTTTCACGGTTAGCCTTTCACTTCCACGTTAAAAGTGAACCACTAAACATCATCACAGAATATGATTACAAAGAATGATTGAGAAAAGATAAGTGACTTTCCAGAGTAATGTCAACATTATTATTATTAGTATCATTATTATTATCATTAAACTTCCAAATAAAGTATATCTAGATGCTAGACCAATACATGATAAGAGCTTCCAAAAAGACACTTAACGTTCAATAAACCAGATCTCTAAAGAGATCACTTTCTGTGATGTAAGAGATAAATGAGACAGGTTTTGCAAATGGTAAAATATCTAAGTATTTAAATCAAAGTTTTTGAGGATTTGTATTTTATTCTTATGGATATGTTAAAATAAATTCTTTCTTCCAATTTGGAAGTGAGTGGAAAAAAATTTCAGGGGTTTAACTCAGGGCTAGTTTTATTTAGTGAATCTCAATTTTTCTCTTGTTTTTTTTTATAAGTTTCTAAAAACAAGTAAATATAAAGCAGAAAAATCTAGATATATCAGATGTAGCTTATAGTTTGTTGCAGAAAATCCTAAGGTTTTAGAAGAAATCATCTAAGTACTCCAATAAAAACAGTGCTTAACAAAAACAGAAGGGTAAGTGATATATTAAAAGACTTTTAAAGGTCTTTCCCAAGAAATGGAACAGATGAGCAAATACAGTCTGCTTGTTTTTTTGTTTTTTTTTTTTTTGTTTGTTTGTCCTTGAACTGAATTTAAACTCGAGTGGGGGGGGAAGTGTGGCTTAGAGCCACTCACATAACCTACTTAGGTAAAAATAGGTGTGTTGAAAGGGTTTAGGTTCATACAGCACCACTTACACTAGAATAAAAGGTGATACTTATTATTTCTCTATAATTGTAAATTTGTCAAATCCAACTCATTATTTTTTCTTTGATATTTTTAAGGATCTGTTTGGAGTCATGAAATCATATTTTCATAATCAATTCAAGGGACATTTTAAAAACACCTCTCTGAAACTCAAGTTTCCTCACCTGTAAAATGAATCTAGTATCTGCTTTTTTGTTTGGTGTATTGAATGAGAAATTACATATAATATATTAACCACTATTTCTGGCTAAATACACATTTCTTTATCTCTTCAGTAAAGATATGTCTCTTAATGCTGAGGGCTGGCAACTTGATATTTGCCTAAAATCTAACTCAAACGGGGGGGGGGGGAACCCACAAAACATTGGAATTGGAGCAGAAAGTAACATCTATACTAATGTGAAATTTTGCCAGGTTCAACCTATATGCCATTGGCTGAAAGTTGACAGAAAATTCTTATCTTGACTATAGTGTTTCTAATTCAGTTCTGGGTTCTCTCTGTAGGAATTCTTCTATGAGAAACTTCAGCCTCAGCTTTGTGTATTATAATCCCACATGTGCTATAAGAGCTACAAATAAAGATTCAACAAATCTCTATGTAATAAACAAAATGCACGTCAATCAATGTAACATATTAGTTAAGTGCATAGCACTCTTTTAGGTACTTTGAAATATATTATCCATGTTTAAGTATATAGTATCATTGGGAAAAAAATATAACTATATGATACATTAAAGAAACTAGAGAAAAATAGTTAAAGTTATGCATAATAAATTGTGGATAGTAGGTTGTTTGATTTCAAAGGAGGGCGATAACGCATGTGCTGAAATGGTCTGAGAAAGCTTGATGGAAAA